TCAGTTTTCTCACTCATAAATAAATATATTCAGATATATATATATTCAGAGATATTTATGTCTGACTCATGATTATATTGCTGATATTCAATTATCTTTAACATATAAAATAATCACTTGTTATAATCCAGCCTTATGATTCGTCTAAATACATAAAAACACAACCTCCTCCTCCTCCTCCTCCTCCTCCTCCTCTTCTTCTTCCTCCTCCTCTTCTCCTATGGTGGCAGCTGTTGGGCATTTTCTCAGTGCCAAGCACCATGAAGTACTTTACATGCATTGTCTCATTTGGTCCCCACAACTACACTAGAACATGGGCTCCACTGATAACAACATAGTAAGAATTTGTTCTTGGCCTGGTGCAGTGGCTCATGCCTATAATCTCAACCCTTTGAGAGAACAAGTGGGAAGATTGCTTGAGTCCAGAAGTTTGAGAGTAGCTTGGCAACATAGCAAGACTTTGTCTTTACCAAAAACAAAAAAATTAGCTGGGTGTGGTGGCATGCACTTGTAGTCTCAGCTACTGGGGAGGCTGAGGTGTAAGAGTCACCTGGGCCCAGGAGGTCAAGGCTGCGGCAAGTCTTGATCATGCCACTGCACTCCTGCCTGGGCAACAGAATGAGACCCCAACTCAAAAAAAAGAACTCGTTTTCCTGAGGGTCTTTCCACTGTCTAGCACTCAGTGAATATCTGCCGAATTGATGTACCCCAACCCCATGAGTTAGATGCTGCTATTATCCCCATATCGAGACAAGGAAACTGGGATTGAGGTATTAAATCTCATGATGGTGATACTAGGGGTAATGAGGACAGCAGCCAGCAGCCATCTTTTCCACGACGCACACTGTTTCTAAGCACCTAGTAGATATCAGCTTGCTTTAAGCTTCCCAGCATCCCTGTGAGACAGCGACTGCCATCCCCCTGTGACAGTGGAGGGAACTGAAGTACAGACAGGTTAGGTAACTTGTCAGGCTAGTAAGTGGCAATAAGCACTGACCGACTGTGGTTATGCCGACGCTGTGTCCGCAGGGCCATGCCCTCACCCAACTCTAGGCATGCTGTGCTCCATTGCCACGGGTCTCCCCAGTGTTCAGTCCTGTGCCTTGCCCACATTTACACCCAGTAGTTTGAGTAGTAGTTGAGTGAATGCCTTACATATGTTGCTAGTATGATAGGTTCACGAGTGTCTCATTAGAAACAGTTTTGCTTGAATCACTACATGTAACTTTTTTTTTAATCAATATTTTTAATTATGATATTGTGGGGTACAGTTAAGGGTTAGGTATACAAATATGCTTCGTTCAGGCACCCTTGTTGACAAGAGGTGTCTCCCCGACTTTTTTTTTTGTCAGGGTCTCACTGTTGCTTAGGCTAGAGTACAGTGGCATGTTCATGACTCACTGTAGCTTTGACCTCCTGGGCTCAGGCAATCCTCCTGCCTCAGCCTCCCTAGTAGCTGGCACTACATGCACATGCCATCACACCTTGCTAATTTTTCTGACTTTTTTGTAGAAATGAGGTCTTGGTATGTTGTCCAGGCTGGTCTCAAACTCCTGGGCTCAAACAATCCTTCTGCCTTGGCCTCCCAGAGTATGTTGGAATTATGGGTGTGAGCCACCATGCCTGGCCCTCCATATAACTTTTAACTGACAGATTGGAGAATATTTTCAGATGTTGAAATGCAAAAATTGGCAGTTGAACTTAGAAATCACCAAGTTGCAGCTGACTCTGTCTGTCTGAGGTCCTTGTTGCAGACCTGCAAAGACCCTCATAAAAACCACTTCTTAATTGTTGTGTTAATCTAATGAAATTAACTGTCTATTTTTTACCGTTTGCAGAGTCAGCGGTTGCAGGAAAGTTTGAAGAAAGTGAACCACATCAAGATCTTGGTATAGTATTTAGTTTCATCTGTTTTTGACATAATTAACTTTTTTTAAACTTCAACAACTTAGAAGATCTTCTCCAGATTTGATACTTTTCAGTTGAATTGTGGCAGCTTCTATAAAAACCACATTCTTTGGAAGAGAATCATATATGTATTTATGACCTAATTATATAGTTAGCCTGAAGCCAAGAAATGTATACCATACAATGTTTAAATTCCTACAGTGCTTTTCATACATTCCATTTATTCTGTTGAAATTTAGAATTGCACAAAGATCTTATAAACACTGTTGACTACCTGTCCAAGGGCTTAGCTCACCATCTTCCTGAAATGAAAGAATCATGTCGTGTCTCAGATGATTTGGGCTGCTCTTCCTGAAGCCTTCTGGTGGAGTTTTCATTTGCACGAAGTGGGAGGAGGAGCAGGAAAGTGAGCGGCCCTGCCTTTCTCTTGGTCTCTTCCTTCTTACGGGGCATCTGTCAGAGAAACAGCAGAGCTGGCAACCACACACAGGTGTCAGTTCAAGTTGGAATGTCTTCATGTTTTGCTTCCTTGTGTTTTAGGATTTCAGGAAATAATATAGGTCAAATTCTGATTTAAACAGGTTCACTGGATGTTTCATTGACAATTCCGTAGGGTGCAGTTAAGTTTAAAACCAATACTTGAGTTTATTTGGGGTCCAAGTGAGTACAGTCTGTTTCTCTTTGAGAACCTGGTTTGGTTTAGGAGCGGCTGCTCTGTACCACCCTCTGAGCAGAAGCCTGGAGCCGGTTGACCTGAGTGCTAGTGGAGGATTCCTGGTCAGGGAGGTGGAGCACTAGAGAAGCAGAAGGGATGAATGTCAGTCAGGAGGCTTGGGTTCTATCTCAGCAGTGTCACGGGGTGGCCGTGTGACACTGAGTCATTTTCTTAGCTTCCTGTACCTGTGAACACGGCTGTCACTTTGGGAGTTGGTTGGATGCCTCTGATTGCAGAGGAGTGGCCCGGGCAAGCTGTGGGGAGCCAAGGCCATGCTGGGCCTCTGTGCCCTCCTGTCCCTCCCTACTGAGCCCACTTAGCTCTTCCTCAGTCCTCAAATTGGCAGATCTGATGGGACCAGTTAATGGCATTTGTTTTGAGGCATCTTTGTGAGGCCACCCACGGCTCAGGCATAAACCCTGCTATATCCCTTCTTCCAGTGGCTGCTTTTTTCCTAAGAGGATACAATAATTGGCAAATACCATGTGGCCTGTGGCCTGTCAGTCATCATGATCACCAGCACTGCTGCTTGTGAAGTGCTTATGGGTACATGCGTGGCACCAAGGACCTTACATGTGTTATTTTGCTTAACCCTTATAACAGTGTCCTCTATATGCTATGTTCCCCTTGTCTTTTTTTTTTTCTCAAAGAGGCAGGGTCTTGCTATATTACCTACACTGGCCTCACACTCCTGGGCTTAAGGGATCCTTCTATCTCTGCCTCCTGAGTATCTGGGACTCCAGGCACATGCCAGCACGTCTGGCTTCATGGCTGGTTTCTTATCTTTCAGATCTTAGGTCAAATATAATCTCTTCAGAAAGACATTCTCATTTTTTTTGAGTTGGAGTCTCACTCTGTCACCCAGGCTGGAGTGTAGTGGCACGCTTACAGTCACTGCAGCCTTGACCTGCTGGCTCAGGCCATCCTTCAGCCTCAGCCTTCCAAGTAGCTGGAACTACAGGTGCACACCACCACATACAGCTAGTTTTTTGACTTATTGTAGTGATGATGTCTCACCAAGTTGCCCAGGCTGGTCTCGAACCTGTGGACTCAGGCAATCCTCTCGCCTCCTCCTCCTCCCAAAGTGCTGGGGTTATAGGCGTGAGCCACCATGCCTGGCCCAGAAAGACTTTTTCTTACCACCCGAAGATAAGCTCCAACCACCATCCACCTATTCCTGTTTTTTTTCCTTCTTTACTGCACTTACTACTGTCTGAAATCATGTCACATGTTTGTTCACTATTTTTTCCTGTAGAAACTTCATAAAGGCCTTGTGCAGACATCACTGTCCCTGACGTGGGCATTAAACCCCAAGAACCCTGGCCATGAAATACAAGTGCCAGTCCCCTTCCCCTACAGCTCGGCTTACAGTCGTCTTTCTGATTCCTTTTTTTTGGATTCACCTTTTGTGAGCCCAGCAATGGTTTCAACTTTTTTTGGCTAACCCAAGACTTCAGGTATTTAGAACTGATAACTTCAATATTAGCTCAGTCGACCATGTTATTAGAACCAAAAATGTATGTATATAATTCTGAATAATATTTTTATGCACACTGACGTTTGAGACCGCTGAGTTCAAAGAAAAAAAGACGATCAAAATATACATAGAAGTCTTGGCACTGGGGTCTCTACCTTTCCCTGAGGATGGGGGAATGGGGGGATTATTTTGTCACCTTTCTTTTTTCTACTTGCCTATTGAGTGTACTCCATTCTATTTAAATATTAAGCCCTAGTACTTTAAAAGTATCAACAATTGTATTTGTTGGCATGAAAGCTAAAGGTGATGATAGATGTGAAAGCATTTAGCCCAGGCACTGGCTAGGTAACTAATATGAATACAAATCCTGCTTGATCTGGGCCACATTCACAAGGTACTTTGAGAAGTTAATAGAAAAGATCTTGGGCCAGCAACTTCCTGCCTTTCCAAGTTAGCATTTCTTGTTGGGACCTGCTCATGAGTCATCACACCCAGAGCCTTGGGCAAAGGTGTTTTGACTAGAATTATAGAACTGGAGCTGCTGGATGCTCAGAGACCTCCTTGCCCAGTGCTGCCTACACTCCAACATTGCTACTCACTGTGTACTCTGGCCCCTGGTGACTCTGGCGGCCGACTGCATTTGTTCATGGAGAGCATGGACTTAGTGCTGAACTGTTATGTGCAGGCAACATTGTCATCTGTTAGGAAGTCTGTTAGTGAGGTGAGTTGCCTGCTGCCTGTCTGTACTGATTATGAGTAACTGCATTAGAAAACAGGTAGATGGCTGGGTATGGTGGCACAAGCCTATAATCCCAGCTTGCCTGAAGCCACAGGCTCGAGACAAGCCTAGGCAACTTGGTGAGACCTTGTCTTTACAATAAGTCAAAAAATTAGCCGGGCGTGGTGGTGTGCACCTGTAGTTCTAGCTACTTGGAAGACTGAGGCAGAAGGATTGCCTGAGCCCAGCAGGTCAAGCTACAGTGGCCATGAACGTGCCACTGCACTCCAGCCTGGGTGACAGAGTGAAACTCCGGCTCAAAAACAAAAAAACAAAGAAAAGAAAACATGTAGACACAGTTCCAGGCTGTGTTTATTCATGTTGTCAGCAGGACTTTATATCCTGTTCTTAAAATTTTACAAAGTGAGAGAAAAGTACTTGTTTCTTTCTTTCTTTCTTTTTTTTGCTATGAGCACAAAAAGTGCCCATAAATCCTGCATAGTTTCCGGGATTCTTGAAAACACAGGCCCTCTCAGCACTCACTCTGGTTTTCCTGTCTTTCGTGATCTTTAATGTTAGACCCATGTGTATGCATTATTATTACAGTCTCCTCCTGCTTTAATTGTAGTGCTGTGCCAGAATCAAATATCGCATAATTCACAGTGGACACGCAGGGCTGGTTCATAGTTATTGTTAAAATTTTTATTAAACCTTTGATTTTTGTTTGTCTAGCCACAAAGATTGACCTTTTGACTTTGTGTGTGTTTATTTACAAAATCGAACGTCTCTAGCCCATTCCTCCAGCTCACCATTCCATCTGGAGGTATGTGGAGTTTTGTGTTACTGATGCTGGCTTTTGGCTTGCAGGTGGAAGAGGAACTGAGTTCTCCTGTGGTGGTGTTTAGGTTTTCCCAGGAGTTGCCAGGCTCAGGTGGGTGATTTTAAAAGAGCGTTAGTTTCTTATCTGTGTTTAAGGAGTTCGAATCTGATACCATTTCAAGTTAAATAGATAACCCAAAATATTTTTATTGCTAAGTTCTTCAGTCATCTTTTCAGAAAAATTTAATTTTCACAAGAACCTAGCATTTTGCTGACAGTGTGCTATGATTAAACCATGGCCAGTGCCTGGGCAGTGCTGGAATGGCTAAAAGAGGGTCTCTTGAAAATATGGGTGTGAGGTTTACCTTCCCGGATATCTTGGTTCAGCAGGTTGGATCCAGGAATCCCTATTTGTATATATGTATGTATTTATTTATTTTAATTAATTTTTTAGTCAGGCGTGGTGGCTTACGCCTGTAATCCTAGCACTTTAGGAGGTGGAGATGAGAGGATTACCTGAGCTCAGAGGTTCAAGACCAGCCTGAGCAACATGGCCAGACTTCGTCTCTACAGTAAATCAAAAAGTCAGCGGGCATGGTGGCACATGCCTGTGGTTCCAGCTACTTGGAAACCTGAGGCGGAAGGATCACCTGAACCCAGCAGGTCAAGGCTGCGGTGGCTGTGAGCCTGCCACTGCACTCCAGCCTGTGCAACTGAGTGAGATTCTGACTCAAAAAATAAAATTTAATTTTTAAATTAATTAATTAAACTGGACTCAGGCGATTCTTCCACCTCAGCCTTCCAAATAGCTGGAACTACAGATGTGTGCCAGCACACCTGGATAATTTTTTGATATATTGTAGAGACAAGATTTCACCAAGTTACCCAGGCTAATCTCAAACCTCTGGGCTCAGGCATTCCTCCCGCCTTGGCCTCCCAAAGTGCTGGGATTACAGGCATGAGCCATAGTATCTGGCCCCTGTGTTTAAAGACTTGCAAATTCCACCAATCTAGTCCAAGGAAAGGTAGGCTTTTTCACATATCTCATACATCCTCCATACTCCAGTGCAGACCCTTCTCTGTGTGGCAGGCAGAGTGAGCATTGTAAGTGGACATCATGCTACTCCTCTGCCCAGAGCCCATTGGTATCTTGCTGTTTCCAGTGAATGAAGTCCAGGCTCTACCAGGCCCCATGAGGCCTATGTGTTCTGCCCTGGCGACCTCTCGGACCCCTCTTATGCCACCTTCCCTTTTGCTCATTGTGAGTCGGTCAGACCGGTCTTCTCTGCATTTCCAGAACATGCTCTTCTTTCCCAGTTCAAAGCCTTGAGCTTTGCCATTCTCTCTGCTTCACACACATTACCCTTCTCTTCTGATGCCTGGTTCCACCTACCGTTTAGGTCTCTGCTGAATGGCCACTTCCTCAGGGAGCTTTCCCTGCCTATCCTGTCTGAAGTGACTATCATATTATATCAGAGCCCTGCCTTTCATGGCATTAACAACCTGTGTAGTGGTTTTATCTGTTTCTTTATGGTTGTTTCCTCAACTAGAACGTAAGCACCAAGATTAAAACAACACTGTGTGCCTCATAGCCCATGTGTCAAGCATGTGCTTGGCGTGAGTGGGCAACCATCTGTTTTGCTGAGTGAAGGCTAGTTCTTCTGAGTCTGGTTGGAGTTCTTGGGCCCTCTGATTGACCTTGCTCTGTGCTCGGTAGACTAGTTGCTAACTTGAGATGTTTGCTTTGTTTCCTCCTGAAATTCCTTGAAAGAAACCCTTTTTAAAAATGAAATTCACGATCATATTTGTGTGAATGTACTGGTGTGTCATATAGTTCATGAGAAAAAGTGGATCCTTAAACCTCCTGTCAGAGACACATTTGATTTCCGTCATACGCAAGGCTCTTCCCTTGGGTTGGTACTGGGGCTGAGTGAGATGGAGTTGGAGGCGTGTTGGTTTGGTAGCCATGATCCTGGGAGTGACACTCTTCCTGTGTTTTGACATCAGATGCGGTGGTTAAAGCTGTCCCAGCAGCCAACATGGTACCTTCACCGTCGGGCAGGGAGCGACATGCATGTGATGCACTGAACCGCTGGGTGAGCATGGCTGGGCCACCTTCTCTTCTTATCTCCAGGCATTGCCCCGCCCGATGACTGGGATGACACATGATCCTATGGGGGTCAGACCCATGGAAAGGAGCCTCTGGGAAGGGACCGGGCTTGTCTGGACTTCCGTCCAAGCCAGGTCACTGCCTCACATGACCATTTCCTAGCTGCCATGAGAGGCTGTGAAACAACATGCAGCTGGTGGGAGCTCTGGTAAGCATGTGCACCAGTGCCAGGGCACGTGGGCCAGGTCTGCTGAACACCTTCGGAGGCTGGCAGTGTGGGTCAGAGCCCTGATGCTTCAGTGTGGTTTTTTTTTGTTTTTTGTTTTCTTGGAGGACAGGGTTTCGCTCTTGTCGCCTAGGAGCCTGGAGTGGTGCAGTAGTGATCTTTGCTCACTGTAACCTCGAACTCCTGGTCTCATGCAAAACTTCTACCTTGGCTTCCCAAGATTACAGGTGTGAGCCACCATACCTGGCTGGTGCCTTTTTTGTCACTGAAATAGTACCTCTACGATTTTAGACTAAAGAATGTTCCGAACAGTGTAAGGATGTTCACCACAGCAGTGTCAGTTCAGGGGCAACATTGAACATAGAGGGCTTGGGAAGTCAGTTATGGTGCATCCACACAGTGAAGTTCAAACAGCCACTGTAAACCATGTGACTGAATGTTTAAGGCACAAGGGAAATGGTCGTTATAAATTAAATGAAAAATGCTGGTTACTGAACAGTGTAAAATACCATATTTTATGACAACAGAAAATACACAGCCCCCCAACTTGAGCACACAGAAAAGACCCTGGGGGGGTATGCCAGCTGTCAACAGTGGGTGTTGCAGTGTGTTGTGTTGTATGTAACTTTTATCTTCTTCTTTTGGTTTACCTATATTTTCTAGATTTTTCTACAGTGAACGTGTATCGTTAGTAAGAAAACAAGTAGATTATACTGTTTTTAATAAAAAGTTGCTCTAAGCATTCAAAGAGAATAGAAAGGTGGAAGGAAGCAAGCTCTTCAGGAGTCTCTGTGCCCTGGGCTGAGCGGATGAGGTTGGGTCTTGACATCTGACTCCCCCCATTGCATGATAAGGATGGGTGACACCTGACCTCGCATTGCAGGACTATGTTCATGCTGCCCTTTTCCCACAGCTGGGAGAACAGTTGAAACAGCTGGTGCCTGCGAGTGGCCTTACTGTCATGGATCTAGAGGTCGAGGGCACGTGTGTGCGGTTCAGCCCTTTGATGACAGCAGCAGGTAACTGGGCTCGGTGGATGTCCCTCACCTTTGTCTGGGGAGAAACAAGTGCGTGTCTCTGAAGTACAGGCTGTTGGGGGCTGATCCAGGTTCCCTTGTGGTATCCCGTCTCCTACAGTCATCGGCATCTCTTTTTAGAGGGGCTTTTTCTTTTGGGAGGGAGGGCTAAATTTAGGTAGATGAGCATTCCTTTGTAACTTTTCAGAATCAGAGTGAGACTTCTGAAATAACTTGGCTCCTCTGTTCTGATGTCCTATGATCCTTGGTTTTCTAGTCCAGTGGTTCTCACCCCCAACTGCACATTGCAAGTACCTGTGGAGCTTTACAAACTACTGATGGCTGCCCCACCTGTAGAGATTCTAATTTCCTTGGTCTGGAATGGAGTCTGGGCATCTGGATTTTAAAGATGATTCTACTAGGCCAGTGCAGGTTGAAAACCCCTGGTGTAGACATGTAAGAAGGCACTGTAACTGCAAGGACATGGATTTTTGACACCAGAAAGTCCCAGGTCCATGTCCCCTGTCAGCCACTTCATGCCTGTGGGACCTTGACCAAGTTTATCTCCAGGCCTGTCCCAGTATCCCACAGTCGTGATGTGAAGACTTCCGTGGCAGCATCTATGTGACGTGCCTTACCAAGGCTTGGCATATTATAGTAGGTACTTAGAAGTAAGCTGAAAAATTAAAAATTTGGTTGTGCTTTTTTGTGGCATGATTTAAACATTTTCAGAAAATGTTTTGTTTTTCATGAGATGTTTTCAACATTTTAGGAAAGATATTTTCTCAAAGGCATCAAAGTAAGAAAATGCAGGCATCTCCTACAAAGGAAAAGCCCTTATGAAGATTGCTGGGAGCCTCACCCCGGCCCCCACCCCAGAACCTCAGTCTCTAAAACTGGAAAAGCAACTGATCCCCCAGGCTCCCTGTGTTGAGAGCCCTGAGCCCTCTCAAGGGCTGACCTGGAAATGACTCTTCCTGCCTTTCCTGTGTGGAGACACAAACTCAGCAAAATACCCCATTCCTCTAATCAGTCATGTGAAGAGAGAATCTGTGGTTGCCTTTTGGTGTTTACCTTGTCATGTGATACTTATAACTGACTGAAGCAGTCTTTCTTCTGTGGGAAGAGTCTGATTTCTACATTGGAGTGTTTCATTGAGTATCAGATCTCCCATGAGAGAAAAAACTCCATACCCAGAGCAGCGGCTGTGTTAAATTTTAATACGTGACTCTTCCATGTCTGGGTTGTGTGGCTTTTTCTTAAGTTCACAGCAGCAGCTGATTGGATGTATACCTCGAGCTTTTGACCTTCCCAGTTGTGCCCTCCTGTCAGCCGTCCACTAAGCATTCCTCTAACGGTCCATCTGCAGCCCTAGGAACACGGGGAGAGGACGTGGATCAGCTGGTAGCTGGTATACAAAGCAAACTGCCAGTGCTGAGCTGCACACTCCAGCTGCGAGGAGAGTTCAAGCAGGAAGTAGAAGGAACCGCAGGTCTCTTATACGTCGATGACCCCAACTGGCCTGGAATAGGGGTTGTCAGGTAAAGAAAATTTTGGCTTGCCACATGATGTGTAAAGAACATGATGAGGGTCATTTTGTGAACCAACTCAGAAATCCAAGATGAATGTGTAGTTGCAATATAATCATCTAATGAAACGTCACCTGGGTTTTCTGGGCATTTACAAAAGCACAGGACAGGCAGGTGATCCGACTCCCCTTTGTACTTAGTGAGTTGGGAGTTGGTGAATGTTCCTTCTTGATGTGCCAGCTCTCAAGTACCCAGGAAAAGATACAGACAGGACGTGTAGCTGCCAGATGGTTACTCTCCCAGGTCTATAGAGGACTATAAGTCAGCAAGAGGAGGAACCCAGCTCCCCAGGGAGAAGAAAGTTGCTGTCCTCTCTAGCTCAGGGTGCAGTCCTTGGCTGCTTTCTTCTTCACTGTATGGCAAGTCTCTTTTCAGTGCAAATAGACTCCCAGGCTTTGTCTCTGGTTTCCACGGGCCTGAGATGTAGGCTTTCCTGGGACGATCTTGATAGTTCTTGTCCTTGAGACACTCAGCAGCCCTTGTGCCCACCTGTCCCACTCACTGTGCCATTCTGCTGCTCACTTATGGCTCATTCTCCACCTGGAATCCCCTGTCTGAAAAGACCTTTGCTTCTTAGATTGAAGGCCTGTTGTTTGCTATCGTTTATAGGTATGAACATGCTAATGATGATAAGAGCAGTTTGAAGTCAGATCCTGAGGGGAAAGAAATCCATACTGGACTCCTGAAAAAGTTAAATGAACTGGAATCTGACCTTACATTTAAAATAGGTAATGTCTTACTTTTATAAGCCAACTGTGATCTCCGCAAGGACATTTTCTAACTGGCTTCAAGGAAAATGGACTCGATCTCTTTGGAGGAAGCTGGGTTAGTTCCAGGCCGAGGTGTAGTGCTTGTCCCTCCCTTCCCCTTCTGTAGCCTTGCGGAGGCTCGTTCCCTCTCCTCCTCAGGGCTTCTGTAAAGGAGGTGCCTCTGTGCACAGTATAGGAGAGCAGGGTCATGTCTCTCTCACAACAGAAGACTCGGGGACCAAGTCTGTCTGTCGTTTCTTCCCACAGGCCCCGAGTATAAAAGCATGAAGAGCTGTCTTTACGTGGGCATGGCGAGCGACGACATAGACATTGCTGAGCTGGTGGAGACCATTGCAGCCACAGCCCGGGAAATAGAAGAGAATTCAAGGGTCTGTAAGACTAAGCTGTGTTCATTCCTCTGCTGGGTTTTGCTTCACCAACTAGTGGGGGACACAGAAAAAGCTGTGTTTGGGGATGGGTGTCTGCTCATTCATTCTTTCCCAAGAAGTTTGTGAATGTTTCCTGTGAGCTAGGCATTGTGCCAGGCATCAGGGGTGCCAAGTGGGTTTGACACAGTCCCTACCCCAGTGAACCCACAAGCCAGCACGGGGAAGAGACATGTGTAGCCACACAGTGTAGTGGATGCTGCGGAGTGGAGGTTGGGAGCTGAGCATGCAGAGGACACGCTCACCTCTGACAATAGGACTTCCTGCTTCTGTTAGCCAGTTCTGTTACCCCCCCCATGTTCTTTACAGGTCATGTGGCAAGCCTGAAGACCAGGCTGCAAGGCTTAAAGGGTGTTCTCCTAACCCGATGGTTATTTCCCTAGAAACCACTGAAAAAAAAAGGGTCCACAGTATGACCAGTCTCAGGTGACAGAAACACATGTCATGTGACTCCCTTTTGGCAGGGGTGGGAAATAGAAGGGAGCTTGAAATGAGGCTGGGCCAGGCATGGTGGCTCATGCCTGTAATCCCAGCTTTGGATGGTCGAGCCAGGAGGATTGCTTGAGCCCAGGAGTTCAAGACCAGCCTGGGCCACATAGCAAAACCTTGTCTCTACAAGAAATTAGCTAGACGTGGTGGCATATGCCTATAGTCCCAGCTACTTGGGAGGCTGAGGCAGAAGGATTATAGGAGGTTGAGGCTGCAGTGAGCTGTGATCATGCCACTACTTTCCAGCCTGGGTGACAGAGTGAGACTCTGACTCAAAAAAAGCCGAAGGGCCAGCTTTGTTCATTTGTGGGTGGACTTCTTAAGGTTTCTTCCAGACCTGTTGTGTCCCTTCCAGCTCTCCTCAAGAATGTCGAGCAGTGTTTCTGTTGATAGGACATTCAGGTCATATGTAGTTTTATCTCCTCTGTTGTCTGGCAGATGAGGCTATTGACCAAGGTTTGTCTGCCTAGGCCTCCACGGGCATTTCATCCTCTTCTCTTTGATCTTGTATTTTATTTTTACACTGGCATTTGTGTGGAGAATTCCATTTCCTGACCTACTTTTGAAAAACATCCCCCATGCTGTTACCAGTTCTTCTAGGCCCCAGGCAAGAAGCTTAGGGCAAGTAATGCCTTTCTTGGTCTTATCACAGCTTCTGGAAAACATGACGGAAGTGGTTCGGAAAGGAATTCAGGAAGCTCAGGTTGAGCTGCAGAAGGCAAATGAGGAGCGACTTCTGGAAGAGGTGAGGTTCCGGTGGGGCTTCTGGGTAGCGGTGACAGCCAGGTTCCGGTGGGGCTTCTGGGTAGCGGTGACAGCCAGGAAGGCCCCGGGGGACAGCAGCCCGCAGCCACTGTTGTGTTTTGCAGGGAGTGTTGCGGCAGATTCCCGTGGTGGGCTCTGTGCTGAACTGGTTTTCTCCAGTACAAGCTTTGCAGAAGGGAAGAACATTCAATTTAACAGCAGGTAGGACGGACTAGCCTCTGCCCAGATATCCACTCTTGATAGTTTTGACCAGATTCCCTTGGGTGCCAACACTCCTCGTGCTGAAAAGCCCTTCATGGTTCCTGTCCTTTGTCACTGGGCACTGTGCCGGGAATCTCAGGGGACGATGTCTGTCTGTCCCTGCTGCTTTGTCATCCTCCTCCCACCCTGACAGCTGAAGTAGCACAAAAGCAGATATCAATTCTCCACAGCAAGTGGGCGCCTCTCTCTTGAATCCAGTGAATTCATTCAGCTCTTCAGACTCTCAGGGCAGTGTCTTGGACATTTTGGTTTGGGTATAATATTCCTGTAGTCCTCATTCGTGTTTTGCCCCAGCAAAGGGTTGCTTTTGAAAGGGGAAATTCAAAGATTATAATATATATCATTGAACATTTTATTCCAAACCAGAATACTGGCCAAGTGCAGTGGCCGACTCCAGTAATCCCAACACATTGGGAGTCTGAGGCTGGAGAACCACTTGAGGCCAGGAGTTCAAGAGCAGCCTGGGCAACATAGACCTCATCTCTACCAAAAAACCAAAAATTCTTACAGGCAACCAGCAAGTATCACCAATTCCTGGAATCTAAAGACAGCATGACTCTCCCTTTCCTGCTCTACCAAGGAAATAATTTGTTAAACCTGAGGTTCCTTCCTTTGTTCCTTCCCCAGGAAATGATAACTACATTGTCACAAAAGCCAAAAATAATCTGATTTTTAATCTGCTGAGCCTCAGCCTTTAGCAAAGAGGCATCTGTCTATTGTTGCTAAAGTGGATTTCCCTTGTTGCTAAAGTGGATTTCCCAGGCCCACTAGTGCCACACTGCTGGCTAAGTGTTCACGGAGCTTGGAGACTCGGGGAGGAGATGAAGCATTCGGCAGGACTGGGGCATGTGTGCCAGCTGAGAGGTGGCTTCTGCTGCCCTCAGCCCACTGAAACGCGGTGCACCAGTCTGTGGCAGGCCCAGTGGCTGGAAACCGTCTACTGGGCACGAGGCTGTATGAGGGCAGGTGGCCGCTTCCCAGCAGCTTCCACCCACCTCCTTTCTTTTCCCGGCAGGCTCCCTGGAGTCCACGGAACCCATATATGTCTACAAGGCACAGAGTACAGGAGTAACGCCACCCCCGACCCCCTCGGGCACTCGCACCAAACAGAGATTTACAGGTACATGGCATCGCCACGTGAGTTGTAACTCTGAAGAACTGGGCTTTTATTTCTCTCAGGAAAACAGGCCTTTGCAAGCAGGTGACAGTCGCCCCCACCCCCCACCCCCCGGCCTTTGCTGTTACTTGCATTCGTTTTCTGGGTTCTTTAATTCAAAAAAATGAAGAGAATTCATTTCTCTTCATTTAAGGCCAACTCTCACCATCCCTTTTAGTAGCCTTGGGATTCAGCCTTGAAGAAATAACCTCAGTAGTGCTCCAAGTTAGGGCCTTGAGAGATGACATTTTTTTTTTTTTTTTTTGAGTCAGAGTCTCACTCTGTAACCCAGGCTAAAGTACAGTGGCATGCTCATGGCCACCACAGCCTCAACCTTTTGGGCTCAGGCAATCCTCTCGCCTCAGCCTCCCAAAGTGCTTGGATTACAGGCGTGAGCCACCGCACCCAGCTCAAGAGATGGCATTATTTTAACCTCACCATTTGCTCTGCTCAGTGTTTCCTGAAGATGACCTCGGAGATTCCCAGCCTGGGGAGCATGTTGGTATCAGGATAGAAGCTCTCAGTTCTCCCTTCATCTCCTAAAATGCCTCAAAGCCAGTAATCCCAGGGGTTTCTGCTGAAGCATTATTGTTAAATAAAGCAATTGCTTGTCACACAGAGAGCCTTTGTCATAGAAGCCTCCTCAGGGAGCTTTCATCACTGTCTGCTCTTTCCCTAGGCCAGAAGCCTTTTAAAAGGTCCCTGCGAGGTTCAGATGCTTTGAGTGAGACCAGCTCAGTCAGTCACATTGAAGATTTAGAAAAGGTGGAGCGCCTGTCCAGTGAGCCAGAGCCAAACACTCCAGAGGCCAGCACCCCCAAGGGACACCCAGGGACTCCCAGCCCCCAGAAAGCCAACCAGACTGAGAACCTCCAGAAGGGGGCCCAGTGCCCAGATGACCAACCGCAGGTAGAAGAACCAGAGAACTTAAGATAAAATTCAGTGTCTGGTTTGAGACTGTACTAAATGTTGTTTCAGGGAAGATGAAGTTATATTGAAAATGTGAACTGTGCCACATACTAATACAATATAAATTACTGTTACTTGTGCTTAACTGGGATTTCTGCACAAGTATGTGCCTGAGAGCCAGGTTTTCTAGGAGGACCTATCTGACTTGATGTGTATGTGGAGCAACCAATAACTCTTGTTTCTGTCCTACCCAACTGTAGGAATAACCGTTTTTTCTAACTTACTGTAAACACTTTTTATTCAAAAAAACACTTGAGAATTTTAAGTGTCTGCCACTTGAAACACCTGCTCTTATCTTTCAGAACTTAAGTGTGATAAGTCATTAGGTTGTACATAAGAACTTTTTGGGAAAACAGCTTTTGTTAGAACTCTGTGTGTTCTCCGTGGCCCTTCCCCAGAGGCAAGACAGCGTTCCTTGCATCTGCTAGTTCGTCTTGAACATGATCAAGCTGCAGTATGCATGGCTTGGCCTGAAGGAGTCCTTGGGCTTGTAAGGAGCAGCGTCAGGAGCCCTCTCCTGCCTTCCCCAGCAGCTGCCCTTCCTGGAGACTTAAGTAAGGACTGTGTCCCCTCAGGCTGTGGCAAGGCTTCTGTCTGGACTGTCCGCTGCCACAAGTCCCTTTCTCCCTTTATATACTCTTTATAAACAGATTTAAGGACTCATCTAGTAACTGCAAAGTCTCTTCCTGACCACACATATATTTTTAAATACTGGTAAAGCTTTTAAATTGGCACACAAGTACACTCTGCTCACTTCTGCAGTCAATGCCTCACAGAGCTACCTGTAAGAGCCTCCTGCCAGCAGGCTGTAGAACACTGAGCCTGCACGTCCAGAGCACCTGTCTCACACTGAGGCCACTGCCCCCTCACAGCACAGCCCGTGGGCCCAGCTCAGAAACCAGAACCTGAGCAGTCATTCTCAGGCTAGTCAGGACAGACAACGTGCTGAAATCATTGGAACTAAGCTCCCTCTTCACTGCCCATCTATACTCTTCCCGAGTACTACATCCCTTTGTTTCTCATAAGGAATGGCCCCTGTGCCTTTTTACCCCAGTAGAGGAGCCTTGGGAGACGGTGGGAAATTCACACTGGGTTTGTGGACTGTGGTTTTGGAAGTCATAGTCATGCCACCTTAGGCCTGTAATTACACTCTGATTTGATGTGATTGTTGAACACATGTGGCATTTGTCAAAATGCAATTGTCCTTTTTAAAAAATTTTTTTTGGTGCAGATGATTAAGCAAAGTCTTCCCTATTTATTTGGTGCAATGAAGTATAGCAGATAAAAAAATGGGGGAAGAGTAAATTAACAAGATTAATTTTTAAATGTTTTTATATATATTTGGAATTGTTAAATTGATTTTGCTGAAACATTTCACTCTTGAGATACTATTTGAATGTTGGTTTCAATAAAGGTTCTTGAAATTGTTACCAGTGAATTCAGTTTATAAATCGTACCATTAATCGGGCATGGGGATTTCCTTTTGGATAGCAACTTTAGAAAAATAAAACGTTTCTAAAAATATATCTTGCAAAATAACCACAATTTGGGCATTAATGACTTTACACCTAAAAGAATTGATTTCTTAGTGGCTTTGTATACCTCTCAGAGATTAAATTTAGTCTCATAGCAGAGTATCTACCATGGAGATGTTTTTCTTTCTGAATCTTTCATCTCATTCACCTAAAAATACAGTAGTTTGGGACTTGAAACTTCTAAAATATTTTGGGGCCAAAAAAAAAAAAAAACCAAAACTCTGTAAGGTGTATAAATTCCCACTGAATTTTATTGCATTTCAAATACTGTTTTTCAAACAAACTCAATTACAATTTTTATTTTATTCACTAATTAGGCAGGATTCGAAATACTTACCCAAGTATCTGAAATAGCTCAGGTTCTCCTCTGCCCCTTATTAGTGACCAAAAATAAAAAGCTGGACATCAACTTCTTAGTAAAACAAAACTAAATCTAAACAAATGCCTTTGCCAAAATAAGACTTTATTTTGAAAGTCATAGACACCGAGTAAGGAAAAACACTAAGACTCAACGGATGTAGATTCCAAATTCATATTCTTTCCAACCCCCACTAGTGGTCTCTGTCATGCCAAAAGTTACTTTCTTTGGTAATTCCTATTTTAGCTTCCTGGAGCAGTGATCTTTTCCCATAAGCCATCTTCATTTTTTTTGTAGAGTAGAGCTTTATTTCCAGGAAACAGTGTGTGAGTTGGAGTTGGGTATTTTTTTAAAAACATCAAGGTAGATCTAATATGTTCAACAAAGTGGGGGGGCTCGGCCAGAGGTGAAGTGGAAAGGTTCTGAAAAAACAAGATGGGCATGAGAGAAGAGTCACTTTGCTGTTCCCTGCTTGGATAAAGATGTCAAGTAAAGCATTTGTGTTCCTTAAACATAAATCAGGAGATACAGACAGATACCTGAGACACCTAAGAAAAGAGGTACTTGCTTACTGCTTCACCTAGACAAATTTCTATCCAGGGCATTACTTATCCCCAGTTGATACAGATGATAAATGGCATCTGCCAATAGCATCCAAATATAAATTCTGCCCACTGAAGGAAAAGTGGCTGTTATCTAAACCCTTTTTTTTCTTACAGATGGGGAAACCAGGGTCCAGAGATTTAAGATTTACCCAACCTGTAAATTCTCACCTCTAGTATTTGCTTATCATCTTGCTGCAACCAGAAATCCACATGTGGAAATGGCATCCAGGAATACGGTCCTATACGAAGTTGTTCTGTCTTTGCATCGTAAATGCTAATCATCTAAGAAAGAACATTTCAAGAACAAAATTTGAGCAATTGAGGCCCACTCCTCCAACCCTACCATTAATAATGCAAGCTCCAGTGTAGTCTAGTACTTAAGGCATTTATCTGCATGATAAGCTTCTTAAAAACTGTCTCAAATAACAAAAGCTTCTACCTACTGAACACTTCCAATGTATCTGTGCCTGCACTTTGTGGGTAACATACATTATCATGTTTAGTCCTGACAGTGATCCTGAGGAAGATGACATTTTTTCTCCCCATTTTGGGTGAAAACCTGAGACTCACAGGGATGGGGCACATTTCCCAGGTCACATGTCCAGTAAGCCTCAGAGCTGGACCTCAGACCCAGGTGTGTCTGACTAAAGTCCATGTTCCTCATTGCCACATAAAAACACTGCCTCATTATTTATACCCTAAGCAGCTCATCACCTTGCAATTTAAAAGCACACAATGTCTGTGGCCCCATCAAAAGAAAAGAAAAAAATCACCTTGTAAAAAATGATCAACTCCTTGAATTCCCAAATTTGCCAATAGTAGTTTTCAACCGTAATCAGCAATATTTGACTTTGGTTATTAAGACTATGTTCTGAATATTAACTACATTAAGGCTATTATACTACTTGAGAAATTGCAAGAGAAATCCTAAAAATGTTAAAGGACTGGCAAAAACAAATCACTCTGAATGTAAACACTTTCCATTGAAAAATGTCAGCATTTCATAAACGAGCAGATTGCATTTGGATGCACTGAATGTGATTTGTTTTTTCATACTTTGAGCATTTTTGAAGCATTCTTTCACCCATTCTTCAAATGGCATGAGATTTTTTTATTTTTCTGACTTTTAAAATTAAGATGTAATTTAGCCGAGCACAGTAGCTTCCAGAACTTTGGGAGGTGGAGGCAAGAGGACTGTTTGAGCCCAGGGATTTGAGACAGCCTGGACAACATGCGAGACCTTGTCTCTATAATGAATAAATTAGCCGGGTGTGGTGGTACACGCCTGTAGTTCTAGCTACTTGGAAGGCTGAGGCAAAAGAATTGCCTGACCGTAGTACATCGAGTCTGCGGTGGCTGGGAACGTGCCACTGCACTCCAGCCTGGGTGACAGAGACTCCAACTCAAAAAAAAAAAAAAAAGGTAACTTAATTAAAAAGCACCCTGAGGGAATCAGACTTTTAAACTAATCATTCTTTTGGGCTAATTAAATTGTTCCAGCAAATCGTTCTTTAGTGACTTGGTTCAGAAGAATGCATGATCCTGAGTACAGTGGGGTAGAAGCCTCCCTCCCCCTTCCCAGCTCTTCCTTTTGTAGGAACTTTATATGGAAAGTTCTTACAAAGTAAACAAGATTGATCACTTTGAAGCTGCATCCTGTGGGTGCACATAAAACCTCCTGCACCTTTTAGGCAGAGAGAACTAAGGTCTGGATCTGAGAGTCTAACAGCATTCCTTACTCTCTTCCAAGGGAGGAAGTAGAGTATGTTCATGTGTATTACTTGTGGCGGTCCCTGAAAATTTACAGCTTTGAAGCTGACATGACCTTTCATTTCTAAGATCTACAAGACGTGAGGCTTTGGCACTGGATGCCTTTTATTAACCCCTTAGCCAAAGATGATTTCAACTCACTGGGCCTCCTGCTAAAGCTCGCGCAGCACGCAGCTCCTCCTCCGGACCACGATCTTGAAAGGAGGCTCTGTAAATCTCTGCAGTTTTAATGTTGACAGCTGTGAGGGAGAACAAGAGGGCTGAACTGACAAAAGGCCAACGTGGAGAGTTTGCAGTCTTACAATTTTACCACCATACATAAGAGGAAGGAATGGAAATTGAGCAAAAAGGATCCTAAGTATCTGTAGCCTCCCCCTGCCTGGAAAAGGAATGTGCAACCTTCTCACCAAATATCTCAGTGAAGAGCTGAGGCCCAAGATGGACTAGGTAAGATTTTGCTGTGCTCCAAGAGCTGCTCCCCATGTGGGAAGCTGGCCATCCCTTAGGCAGACACGTGGCGAAACTGTTCTGGTCAGTCTACTTGTGTACAGCCAGGGGTAGAAGATGGACTGTGGTCATGGCAAAGTCTGGTGTTCTTTGTTTGAATTTTTACAATTTAGTATTTTACACATACACAAAGCTAAAGAGAATAAAATAGTGAACACCTATGTACCTACTGCCAAGTTACTAAGTAAAATCTTCTAGATCTGGTAGAAGCCCTCTGCAAATCTAGCCAATTTCCTGCTATTTCCTTACTGTCACATCCCTTCCCACAGAAGGGAAGAGAGTTCTGGGTTTTCTTTAGTCTGATGGTATTACACTTTCTTTTAAGTAGGGTCTTTGTTCTCAACTAAAACCTTACTTGGTTCCAAATGTATGGAAAGATTCAAATGCCCCGCACCCTCACCAGAGCACTGAGGGAGATGAGGCCTCCTGGCACTGTGCCAGCTCCTGGTAAGGGGGCACAGTCTGTGCTTTATATTTGCTACTATGTTTTCTTGTCACAGTCTTAGAACGTGGACATTATCTCCATTTTGTATATAAAGGTTAGAAAAGTGGGCCAGGTGCAGTGGCTCATGCCTAGAATCCCAGCACTTTGAGAGCCAAGGCGAGAAAACTGCCTGAGTCCAGGATTTCCAGACCAGCCTGGGCAACTTGGTGAGACCTCGACCCTACAATAAGTCAAAAATATTAGCCAGGCATAGTGATGCACGTCTGTGGTTCCAGCTGTGGAAGGCTGAGGCGCAAGGATCGCTTGAGTCCAGCAGGTTGAGGCTGCGGTGACCGTGAGCGTGCAACTTCACTCCAGCCTGAGCAACAGAGTGAGACTCTGACTAAAAAAAAAAAAAAAAAAAAAGAAGTGAAACTACTTGCCTAAGGTCTCCCAGCACAGAAAGGACCTAGGATTTGAACCTAAGGCTGTCACAGCTGACAAAGCGGGCTCATTCGTTTGCTGAATCCAACTTTAACCAAGCCTCCCACCCTCAAACATACTGCTTACCAATGCCATAAATTATTGGAAAGTGGTTTTCATTTTCTTCCCGGTCATTTAACTCTACAAAATAAAAATAAAATGTAAGATACAATTGTTAAGAAATACCAAACAATTGTTATCATGTTGCATAATAAAGGCCAAGGAGGAGCCCACCACTGCAAAGGGGGAAAATTCCTGGAAAATTAAAAGGACTTGGTCCTGTTTCCTTGGAGTCCCCAGGCAGGAAGCTTTCTACTGAACAAACCACCACTCAGAGTCGGCCCCCTCACCTTCCATGCACCCCATCTGCCACATAGGTGGCAGCTCCTGTCTAAGAGCCAGTGCCCTGTTGTTCCTAGGAGCAGATAGAAGCTTCTGAAAATCCCACAGAAGGAGACAAGAATTGCACTTGGGGGCAGCCTCTGAACTGAGCCTGAGCAGGTGAAAGCCTGAAGCAAAGTGGAGCAAGCAGAGTGTGTCTGCCACGACTCATGCCAGGTGCTAGGTCCCATTGGAGGTGCAGGGCAAAACAGTCCTGAAACCCACAGCTTTGTTCTGGGACAAATGGCAGAACCTACCTGTCACACATAATGTCACTAAGTGAATATCATCTTCTTGTCTGTCAAATTCACCTATGATTAAAATTACAAAACTGGAGTCAGAAAAGTTCCTCTGGTTCCCAGAACATACTTCTGAGTAAGCCAAGGGGTGTAAGGACGGCAGCCAGCACTCTGTCCCACCCCTGTGCAGCCACAACCTGGTCTCTGGGGCCAGGTCCAAGGGAACTGACACCATAAAGCCCTGACTGCCAAGTGACGGCCACATTCTTAGCCTCCAGCCCAAAGCAAACAGGCTTGAGCCTTTCCACTTTTCATTCTGAGAGTTTTGGGGGAACACATGGATTCGTAAGAGAAGATTTTTATTCCTCTCCTATAGTCTTTTTCTCCTGATTATCAGAGTTATAAAAACCAATTGGGTCACAGAAACAAAGAACTGAGTACCACATGTTCTTACTCGTAAGTGGACACTGAACACCTATCATAACACTACAAGAAAGGGATTGGTAGTAGCAGGACATTGCCAGGGGACATAACATCCCCAAGGGTACCTGATCCTAAACCAGGCAAAGTGAAGGCAGAGGTGGAAGGATCACCTGAGCCCAGCAGGCTGAGGCTGCGGCCGCTGTGAATGTGCCACTGCACTCCAGCCTGGGTGATAGAGTGAGACTCCAACTAAAAAAAAAAAAAAACCAATCTGGTCGTATAACAGATTTGGAAAATGCAGGAGAGTATAACTAAGTCGGTTTTTAATGCCCATGGTCCTAGCACTGTGTGTGTGTGTGTGTGTGTGTGTGTGTATAATTTTTTTTTCATTGAGTTGGAATCCATCTCCATCTCCCAGGCTGAAGTGCAGTGACACACTCACGGCCACCCGTGTTGACCTGCTGGGCTCAGGTGATCCTTCCACCTAAGCCTTCCAAGTAGCCAGAACTACAGGCGCATGCTACCATGCCCGGCTAATTTTTTGATTTATTGTAGAGATGAGGTCTGGCCAAGTTGCCCAGGCTGTTCTTGAACCCATGTGTTCTGATAATCCCCTCACCTCGGCCTCCCAAAATGCTGGAATTGCAGGCTTGAGCCACCACACCCAGCCTTTATTTTTTTTCATACATTTCTGTGCACAGTGAAGCTCTACCAGAGACAATTTTATATCCTGATTTTTTGTGCATATGTATTTTCCCATGTAATTCACATCTCTTTGTTATTTTGTAGTAGTAACCAATAGTAGTAAACAATGTTCTACTGCTATTGTAGATAATGTTCTACTGCTCATCTTTGGGCATAAATATCTGTGCACATTTCAGATTATTTTTTCAGAATGTGCTCCCACAGGGGAATCACTGGGTCAAAGGCTATGAAGCTTTGTTTAAGACTTAAGCCATCATGTCAAATTGCTTTCCCAACATGCTGAAGCTATGTATATTCTGGCACTGAGTAAGCCTGCCTAACTGCCTGCTGGTTAATTAGCACAGAACAATGTCTTACTGCTTTCTTTCCTTTTTGAAAATATTTGCTAATTTAGTAGGGGAAAAAATGGTATCAGTATTTTAATTTTCTGCGATTAAAATGAACATTTCTATTAGGAGGATGGATCTGCTTGTACATAATTCAAAGCACTGACGTTTTGGAATGGAATATGTCAATTGCTATTTTAAAAGAAAATCTTGTCCCATCCTCATTATCCCACAGAAATTAGCTCTATGCTATTCAGTCTTTGTGTAAAATTCCAAGCTGCACAGGCCTGTTTCTCTCTGCTGTTCAAAGTAGATGTGCCCCTCTTAAGGTTTTATACTAATTGGAATTTTTAACCCAAGCAAATGTAAGTGCATCTTTCTGTCAAATTTGGGGAAAAAACAGTGAACTTACTAAGAAGTTGATGAGTAAGTTTTTGTGACAACTGCCTGTCATCACTGAAGCCTCCCACGAGGTGCACTTCCAGCCTGGCAAGAGATGGGACAGTGATCAGAAACTGGAACAATATGTTAATAGCATGCATGGTCTCACTTCAAATTTTAGTTCCCAGCTTCTGTGAACCCTCTCTCTACAGCAGTGCTTGTGGGTCCTCCTTGTGCCACGACACATACAGAAAAAAACTGTGCAGCACATCGGGGAAATGGGTGAGGCAGCCCGCGCTGGGGACAAGCTCCTGGAACCCTGCCCACAGGCTCTGATGGCTGAGAGAGTCTGTCTGACCACAAATGTGATGTCATCTCCATACAGAGGGTGAGGAGCTCTGCTCTGGAAGGGTATGACTGCATCACATCATTTCTTTGCCACAAGTGGGACACTGTCAGGAACCAGGAACCTCTTCAGTGTCTTCACCTAAGAGGCAGAACTGGGGTATGAAACTGGGAAGAGTCCATCGTGAAGAAGACGTTTTACAGATGCCCCTTTTTTTTTTGAGTTGGAATCTCACTCTGTCGCCCAGACTGGAGTGTAGTGGCCGCTCCTGGCCACCGCAGCCTTGACCTGCTGGGCTCTGGCGATCCTTCTGCCTCAGCCTTCCAAGTAGCTGGAACTACAGGCACGCACTACCATGCCCGGCTAATTTTTTGGTTTATTGTAGAGATGAGGTCTCACCAAGTTGCCCAGGCGGGTCTTGAACCCGCGGGCTCAGGCAATCCACTCACCTCAGCCTCCCAAAGCGCGGGATTACATGCTGAGCCACCGAACCTGGCTACAGGTGCCCTTTCTAATGCCCACCATATTTTGGTGAGAGAGAATCTCTATTTTACAGAGGAGGAAACAGGGCTGTTTCTGACCATGCTTATTAGCCATGATGCCAGATTTTCCCAAACTGTATTCCACCGAACATGGCCTCAGAAGATGGGGAAAAAGGCAGAGCTGCCCAAGCGGCTTGGGAACTCCTGCCTACGGTAACCCTGCCGAGGAGGACCACACTGCACATTAGCACAGGGAAGCACTGAGAAGTCCTCCGACTGAAAACCAAAGTCTTGAACCTGGTGTTTCCCACACGCACTTGTTTGCTGACCCCCTTTTCTACGTAACAACCTGGAGAACTAATGCCTAGGAAGTGCTGCCATAGTACCTCACACCACCTTCTCCTGAGATACAACATCTTCCTGAGGAAGAAACCAGAATCTTATGTGCACCCAGTAGCAACACAGTTTCAAGTGGCCTCATAATAAATATTAAGTAGTGAGGGCTTGTGACCACTAGCTACTAGGCTTGCCTCTGCCTTCCAGAGTAACCACATTAGTTCTTCTATGAACAGAGTGAGAACAGCTGACAGTCATGGTCTGAGAATCACAGCATCAGGCATGTAGATCTGAAGACATCATCTGTGGGGCCCAGTGCAAAATGAAAATGCCATTTTGGGACTGCAAAGGTCACATGAAGCCAGCCCAGCCTGTGGCACTGGACCACATAGAAGTAGAATTAGGCCGGGCACAGTGGTTCACGTCTATAATCCCAGCACTTTGGGAGGCCGATGTAAGAGGGTTGTCTAAGCTCACAGGTTCGAGACCAGTCTGGGCAACTTGGGAAGACCTCATCTATATAATAAATCAAAAAATGAGCTGGGCGTGGTGGCATGTGCCTGTAGTTCCAGCTACTTGGAAGGCTGAAGTGGAAGGATCACCTGAGCCCAGCAGGTTGTGGCTGCAGTAGCCATGAGCATGCCATTTCACTCCAACATAGACTCCAACTAAAAAAAAAAAGTATTATTAAACAATGTTCTACTTCTTTGATTTGGGACAAATCTGCATTGTAAATAGTAAAACTCACAAAAAGCTTTTATCTCCCTTTTTTGACTCCTAGAATTCTAAGCACTTGTATATGACTGGAATCATTCATGCCATGGCTACCTTAGGTTTCAGATAAAGTAAGAGCAATGCCAAGTCTATGTAATGACAGAGGAAGGAGGGGACAGATGTGGTGCACCAGTCTGACAGCTGGGCCTGTTTCATTCCATACCCTTAACTAGTTGTGAGGCTCCGGTACACTGAGTCTCAGTGTCCACCTATCACATGGAGGCAACATATACTTCACAGAAGAATGAAAGGATGAGATGCTGTGGGGCACAGCCAGGCCAGGGGCTAGTTCTTATCCAGTCATCATGGTGACACCACAAATGTGCTAAGATTGACCACTGTGCCGCTCGCCCCCAACTGTCCCCAGGCGTCTTCCCTGCCTTGTTTATCTCCACCATTGAGAAGGACTGTGGTTCTGACTGTCTCCTTGTGTTAGAATATGAACACCTTGGGGCAAGTTTTCTTGTCTGTTCTGTTCACTGCTATGTCCTTGGCACCTAGAACAAGTTGTTGCTCACAGGAAGCATTTAACAAATAATTGCTAAGGAATGACTGAATGAAGAGATACCACATGTGGAGTACAGCAAAGCAACATCTGATATGTGAAAACCTAAAGGATAGTACTGAGAATAAATCTACAGGTTCAAAGTTAAACCTTCCATTTAAAATCCAGTACTAGGCCAGGCGCAGTGGCTCATGCCTGTAAACCCAGCACTTTGGGAGGCCAAGGCAGGAGGACAGCTTGAGGCCAGGAGTTCGAGACCACCCTGGGCAGCATAGTGATAATTCACTCTACAAAAAAAATAAATAAATAAGTAAAATCCAGCACTGATTCCTTGCCCGTGCCCATCATCCAGTCATTCAGTCAACAACTACCGACACAGTTCCCCACCATGCCAAGTTCTGCCCTGGGGGAACAAGAAGGACATGGTGGTGGTGGCATCCTATGTTGCTGTAGTAGTTTCCATAGCGGTTTCCCCTACACAATGGTGCAAAGTTACTAGTTCACATAATAGAATAGCATGGATCTCACCTTCCACACTGAGCGAGGTCAGAAAAGGATTTTATGGAGTTCATGATCAAGGGGACCTCAGCTTTGGTGTCAGTTCCGTCACAATGTGTCAAGCAGGTAGCCCCATTACCTGAAGAACAAGGGTGAAATGACTCATGTTATTCCCGGTGACAACTCAGTGAGCAAGCCAAGACCACTCCTGTCCATTTGGACCGCCTCATCTCTGCATATCCTGTAGGGAGAAAAATAGAAAAGTCTGCAGCCCAGCCAATCCATATTGACTGGGGCAGCAGGGAGAAACCATGCAGACTAGAAAAAAGGTAAGCGAAGTCAGGTTTCAAATAAGACACCAGGAAACGCAAATCGAGACATTAAATGGTCCCAAATGTTGGGTCAGTTTAAGTTATCGTTTCCTTCATCTCTCTCATACCTGTGTGCCTCAGGACCACAATGTGACAAGTAGTGGCATCATCAGAACCCAGAATGGAGATGGAGCCTGTTTAAAAAGAAATAAAATAAAATATCCAACAGCCTTTTGGGATAATGCCCAATTCACTGCTTCCTAACCTACCATCCTTTGGGGAGGTCACTGCAAGCTCTCTTTGCTGAACATACAGAAGGCCCTGGGGTCCCACTTGTTGAACAGACTGACCTCTGAGAAGTCTGGCTCTTTCCTGTTTAATTAAAAAAAAATAAAATAGTGATGTAAATTAGCGAGGATGGAATGACTAGAGATATGGAGAGAGCCAAAGTGTACCTTATGTGGGAAACACTAGTATGTGTGAAGTGCTGTGTGTCATCTGACAGAAAGGCTAAAATTAAGAGGCAGCAACAATAATCATTTGGAACAATGCAAAGAAAACAGTGAAGTTCTGGGGGTTTTACCTAGAAAATCAGATGTCATAGTACCTATGAAGAAAGAGGCAAAAATCCCTCATCAAGGTTCTTTACTAAAGAGTGTGAGACTGGACAACTGTAGTTGGAGATAAAATCAGACCATATTAGGTTAGTGAATGGAGTGCCTTGGAATCCACATCCCTTTTTTACTTTCTTTGCAGAGGAATAAGCATTAAAACTTCCCTAGTCCCTGTCTAGTAATCCCAGTTCTGGAAATCTGTACTAAATAACTCAAAATGTGTTCAGCACTGTATTGCTGAGAATGGCAAAAAGCCGGAGCCACAACAGAAAAGGTAAGTAAATTATGCAGAACCAGCTAACAACCACTAATTGCAGTCATTAAAAATGAAAACTATGGGAAAAACTGTCTGAAATGCTAACTGAAAAGGAAGATACAAAAGTAGCAAATGTTTTAAAAGAGCTATAAATATGCTGCTAACACAACGATGATTAAATGCTTACACAATCCCGCGTCTTTGGGAGGCTGAGGTGAGTGGATTGCCTGAGCGTGCAGGTTCGAGACCCGCCTGGGCAACTTGGCGAGACCTCATCTCTACAATAAATCAAAAATTAGCCGGGCGTGGTAGCGCACGCCTGTAGTTCCGCCTACTTGGAAGGCTGAGGCGGAAGGATCGCCGGAGCCCAGCAGGTCGAGGCTGTGGTGGCCGAGAGCGGCCACTACACTCCAGTCTGGGCGACAGAGTGAGACTCCAACTCAAAAAAAAAAAAAAAAAAAAAATGCTTACACAAATAAGAAAAAATACCGGAAGGAAATTCACCAACAAACTGTGTTAGAGCAAACTTGAGGGATTCCTGTTGCTGCTGTCTTTTGTCTTTGCTCTAAACGTTCTATAATGGAATCCTATCATGGAGAACACAAATTCCTATTTTTTTTCCATTGACCAGCTGGGTCTCAGGAGCAGGCACAAGTTCCTATTAAAGTACAAAAACAAAACAGATAAGCATATTTATGAAGGATATGTGAATATTAGATGTCAAAAATCTGTAATTGAATACTTGTATAAACTCTTACATAGTAAGACTAAAAAAAAAGAAAGACCTCAGGTGGTTAAATTGTTTAATAAAAGCTAAAACTTCTTTCAAAAATGTTAATTTGAAGCTGGGCACAATGGCTCATGCTTGTAATCCCAGCACTCTGGGAGGCAGAAGCGATTAGGATTGTCTGAGCCCAGGGGTTTAGACCAGCCTGGGCAACTTGGCGAGACCTCGTCTCTACAATAAAGCCAAAAATTAGCCGGGTGTGGTGGTGCATGCCTGTGATTCCAGTTACTTGGAAGGCCGAGGCAGAAGGATCGCCTGAGCCCAGCAAGTCATGGCTGCGGTGGCCATGAATGTACCACTGCACTCTAGCCTGGGTGACAGAGTGAAACTCCGACGCAAAAACACAATACAAACAAAAAATGTTAAATTAATACAGTACTAAAATATATCATAATTTCCTTCTTACTTGGAATAAATTCTAATTCAGATGTCTGAGGAGAGAAGATGCATGCACTGCCTATACTGGGGAACAGCTCTGCAGTTTTCTATAGGCTTTGGTCACTTCTCATGATGGATGCTAGTTTAAGTTACTGCTTAATTACTTAATAAAATATAAGAAATGTAATAAACATACATGATCAGCTTGATTAGTTATGCCATGTTTTCTTCTTTTAATAAACTTCTATTAATGGAAGCAAGGCAGCAATTAAAATGAGACAAACCCCTGTTTATGAAGCGAATTTACAACCTAAGCTATCAAATTTAAAAAAGAACTAAAGATTAAGTGAAGCATAAAATTAGATTGGCAAGACAACTTGGCTTACTCTAGAAGTCAATGGGATATAGACGTGGCTGAATGCTCGTCATTTTCACACCACTTCTCACCCTTAATTCAGAATAACATAAGGGAGAATTCAGAATTCTCTTTATTATTCCTTTAATACTTACCTTCTGTTTTGTTCTTGAGGGAAGGGGAGGGATGGAGTCAAAGCAAATTTTTAACATGCATTTTCACAATTGGGTCACCACCCTAAAGCAAAGGCTATTTGTGAGAAATGAATTGTCACTTTCATAAAGACCAAAAATCATGTCTCTTTTCCCCATGGCTCCTACTATTTCCCACAAAAATAAAAGCAAAAATTATCAGAAGAGATAATGCCACAAAACTAAAACAGTATACTGCTTTGCTCTTCTTTATTTTTATTTTCTTTCTTTTTTTTATTTTCGCTTTTGAGACGGGGTCGCTCTCTGTCACCCAGGCTGGAAGTACAGTGGCACCATCATAGCTCACTCATTATGCCTGGCTACTTTTTGAACTTTTCTACTTTAAGAAATGAGGCATTTAGCCAAGTTTCCCTTCTTTGGGAAAACACACAGTCCTACTTTATAAACTCATATACTTTCTGAAATAAAAGTAGCCCTCGTTTTCTTAACTCCTAATATTCTCTGGACATTAATAATCAATAAAAAAAATCTTTTTCCCTCAGTCTATCATCCTCACCCCCCAATTCCTATTCAATGGCAATATTCTCAACCCAGGGGTCAGCACATTTTCTGAGAAGGGCCAGACAGTAAATATTTTGCACTTTGCAAAGCCGTACAGTCTGCTGCAACTATTCAGTTCTGCTCTTGTAGCATGAAAGCAGCCACAAACAACACATAAACAACGGGGTGTGGTTGTGTTCCAGTACAACTTTATTGACAGGGGACACTGAAATTTGAATTTCATGTAATTTTACATGCCACAAAATATTATTATTATTTTGATTTTTTTTCAATCACTGAAAAATGTAAAAACCATTCTTGCTCACAGGCTATACACAAACAGGGTGTGGCCCATAGCTTGTTGACCTGTGTCTCTGCTAGTCACACAGCCATAATGCCGAGGATGAACATGTGTCCCTTACCCCCGCTGCCACATTCATCAGTTCTCCTAAGTAGGAGAGCAAGGATGAAAGTGCTCTGTGAACTGAAGCATGGTGGTGTAGGAGAAATTGTGAACAGGTGTAGCTCTCAAAACTGAGCCTTCTTCCCACTCCATACCTTAATTCAGTCCTTCCCTGTCTTACATCTCAATTACTGAAATATAATTTACAAGGCTAAGACACAGAGCACGACATTCCCCAAGAAATCCTGGCTTGCTCCTGGCCCTCTGTGCTTCTGCTTCTCCCTCTGGTAGATGGGCCCGATGATGCACCTCATTAGGCTGCACAAGGATTAACTGAGAGGTGTGTACAGGGCTTCACCACGCCTGGCCCCTGACAAGTGCTCACCAAAAGGTGACTGTCACTATTCCTCATCTCTGTCTCCCTGCCTCTGAGGTCTCCCTCACCCAGTCCATCCAACCCAGCCAGTGTCAGCTTCAAAAACACTAATTTTTTTTTAAATTTGGAGTCTCACTCTATTCTGTGACCCAAGTTGGAATGCACAGCCACCGCAGCCTCGGCATGCACTACCATGCCCAGCTAATTTTTTGATTTATTGTGGAGACAAGGTCTTGCCACGTTGCTCAGGCTGGTCTCAAACCTGTGGGCTCAAGCAATCCTCTCACCTCTGCCTCCCAAAGTGTTGGGATTATAGGCATTAGCCACTGGGCCCGGCTCCAAACACTGATTTTGTTACATCACTTTTCTGTTCTAAAACCTAAATCCAGCAATTTCATTCATAGGAATAATTATGAGTGTTTATAAAGATTTAGCTCTTAGAATGTGCACACTGGTGAAACAGCGTAAATGTCTTGCATGTTGAAAAGCAAGAACTAACTACACTGCATTCATAGTGTGACAATCTAGGGAACCATTACAGAAACATCACGGTACTGGCTCCTGGACATCTAGTGCCGGGTGAGGAACGCAGGCCCTAGACAGGCCTGCCCACAGGAACTCTCTGAGGGGTGGCCACGGCCTGTACCCACACCGTCTGAAACAGGAACCAGAGGTGGGCTGCTTGACACCTGAACTGTGACTAGTGTGACCCAGATTTTATTTAATTTTAGATTTTATTTAATTTTAGTTTGCCCAAGTTTAGTTAATTTTTTTTTTTTTGAGTTGGAGTCTCACTCTCTCGCCCAGACTGGAGTGCAGTGGCCGCTCCCGGCCACCTTAGCCTCGACCTGCTGGGCTCTGGTGATCCTTCCGCCTCAGCCTTCCAAGTAGCCGGAATTACAGGCATGCGCTACCATGCCCAGCTCATTTTTTTATTTACTGGAGAGATGAGGTCTCGCTGCCCAGACGGGTCTCGAACCCGCAGGCTCAGGCAATCCACTCACCTCAGCCTCCCAAAGGCGCAGGATTACAGGCTGAGCCACCGAGTCCAGCTAGTTTAGTTAATTTAAACATAAGTAGCCCCATGGGGCTGGTGGCTACTGCACTGAAGAGTGCAGCTCCCAAGGCAAGGGCAGATGGCCAGGTTCCTGGCTTCACTACTCGCAGGATGTGGGGCCATGGATGAGATACTCAACCTCTCTGTGCCTCACAACTTTCATCCACGCTGCTGTGGTGCTCAGGCAGTTCCCGTGTGACTGTTACTGTACTTATATGCTGGTATCTGCAGTGGGCTGACCATTGTTGGTACTGTACCCTCACAACATACTGTTATGTTACATGAGAAAGACACATTCTAAAACAATATATAGTATGCTATCTTTTTTGTTGAGTTGGGGTCTCACTCTGTAACCAGGCTGGAATGCAGTGGCATGCTCGTGGCCACCGCAGCCTCAACCTGCTGGGCTCAGGTGATCCTTCCGCCACAGCCTTCCAAGTAGCTGGCACT